CCAGCTCTTACCTGGGAAGAGAGGCAGTTGTAAATAATGATGAGAGGGCTTGTTGTGGGGGGTGTCTGTTCTGGGGCCACACCCAGCAGTGCTCAGGACTCTGGCTCTGTGCTCAGGGGACTTGGGGAAACCGTGTGGGGTTCCAGGGACTGATGGAACCTGGCTCATCCCTGTGCAGGGGAAGATCCCTCCCCTCTATTCTCACTCCCTCCGGCCCAAGATTGCAGAGTCGTTTGCACGGGCTATGCTGGACAGCTGCCCAATCAGTTCTCATGTCTGATTTGGTTGTATGTAACTATAGTTTCTTTTTAAGTTAGTACTTTACTCCCAAGTGTCTTTCCCCCGCTTTCCTTTAGCTTTTGAAAGGCTGAAGTTATCTGATCCATACTTCATCTTTGCCATATTGTTGCCTCATGGTGATGTCTAACTTCAGAATTTCCTATAAACTACAAGATAGTACAAAATTCCTGACACAATGAAACTGAACATTACTTACCCAAGGAGTGGGGCTGTATGATAGTATAGTGGGAAAGGCATTTGCCTTGCACGTGGCAAACCCAGCTTCAATTCCGGCACCCCCATAGGGTACCTTCCAGGAGTGATTGCTGAGTGCAGAGTCAGGAGTTGCACTTCCAGGTGTGGCCCCAAAGCCCAAACACAAAAGAATAGAAAGAACATCTCTTTCTTGGGCAAAAGTCTGATCAAAGGGCCAGAAAGAGTATAACAGGCAAGGCGCTTTGCATGTCCCTGACCCTGATTCAATCCCTTGTACTCCCAAACCAAAGTCTTTTTTGGGGGCTGGAGAGATATGCCACCCGACATGGTCCCCCAAGCCTGCTGGGAGTGATCCCTGAGCATTTCTGGGTGTGGTCCCAAAACCAAAAGAGTAAAATATAGTCTAAAAAAAGGTAGACTAGGGGCCGGAGAGATAGCACAGCGGGTAGGGCGTTTGCCTTGCACACGGCCGACCTGAGTTCGATTCCCAGCATCCCATATGGTCCCCTGAGCGCCACCAGGGGTGATTCCTGAGTGCAGAGTCAGGAGTAACCACTGTGCATCGCTGGGTGTGACCCAAAAAGCAAAAAAATAAAAAATAAATAAATAAAAATAAAAAAAAGGTAGACTAGTTCTCTGTCATACCTGTGATATGATTTCATCCTATCCCCAGCCACCCCCCACTCTAGTTCCTCCCGCCATATTGGCGTCCTTCCTCTCTTCAGCTCACAAAATGCCTCTATGTGGGACTTTCACTCTTCATGTGTCAGTGTGGCCTGCCCTGAGAAGGCCTCTTCCCTGGCACCTTTGTAGGAAACCTTCCTGGATCTAAAATTACACCCCAACATGCCAGGCAAATCCTGTGTAATTCCCTGCAGGCAACTGACATATTGCTACAAGTATGTTCTTACAATGCATGAGGGCAACAATTCAAACAGGTGTCAGTGCTGAGCGCAGAAGCTCCAGGAACTTTTCAGGAGGGTGCACCCCAAGGTGCTCAGGAATCACTCCTGGCAGAGGTTTGGTGAGGTACTCACACTTGCGTGCAGCTCACCTGGTTTGATGCCAGCATCCCATATGCTCCCCTGAGCACCACTAGGAGTTGTTGGATATTAACCCTAAGTGTTTTAGGCTTCCTCAGTGAATTGCCCCTTTTCCTCCTCCCAGAACAGCTTACTGTGCTCTTGCAAGCATCCCTAACCCCCTGAGTTTATCTTTAACCTTTCCTTTGCGTTTTACACCTCATTGTCAGTTCCCCCAAATCAGTCTTGGTTGTTTATAAGCCAAAACATTCTGGTAATTCTGGATTTTGTACTTGTCGTGAATTACTTGCATTTCTATTTCCCCTGTAGCCTTTTCATATTTTTACTATAGAGCAATGTTCTTTGCTTAAACACAGAAGGATCATTAATGCTATGCCTCAATATTTAGGAGTTGATTGACTCTAAAATATGGCTACTCCTGGGCAATCGTCATAATTACTTCACTCAGGCTTCATTGCTGTAGTTCTAACACCCCAAAAGGGAGATCCCGCCACGGGACTGATGTGAACCCAAGGCAAGTGACAAAGCTACTCTCCAGCATCAGAATGGGACAGTCTAGAAAGCATAAATGCATGGTCTTGATGCGAGCTTTATGGTGTTAGAGACAGGACCCCCATGGGGAAGAACAAGCTGAACTGACCTGCAAACTTGGTCTGGGGTTTAAGGTAAAAGCCTCACTTGCTCTCAGAGCCCAGAGAACTAAGTTTTAGGATCTTTGTCTCTTTCTGTGTTTATCTAAACAACTGAAAATATTGAGAAGTAGTCTTAAGTGTTTGATTGTTTGACTTATATGAATAGAGGGAAAGTGAAAAGCAGTATAGATGTCCCTGGGAGACAGAGCATCTCCTTGAGCTAATCTCCCCCAGAGAATTGCCTCTGCCAGAATATTTTACCCCTGTAAATCACACGGACATGCAGTCCTATACCTCTCACCCCTTCAGTTATCCTATACGTATACTACCAGCTCTGCATTAAATGGGCTATTTTAACCATCGGTCTGTGGTCCCCTGTCTCTTTGTCTCTCTGCTGGGGCGGTCTGGGGAGGATGGGAGGCGGCTCTGGGCCAGGCCACCAAATATACATAGCACTCACGCTTTGTGAACTCACAAGGAGTAATTCTCTTTGGGGGAGGGAGGCCACACATCGTGATGCTCAGTTCTTGAGTACAGAGCCAGGAGTAACCCCTGAGCATCACCAGGTATGGCTCAAAAACAAAAAAATAAAAATAAAAAGCTTTTATTTCACAATTTCTCTCTTCCTTTTGCTCGATTTGCTCGAGCGGGCCCAGTAACGTCTCCATTGGAGACTTTGTTGTTACTGTGTCTGGCATATCGAATACTCTCGGTAGCTTGCCGGGCTCTCCGAGAGGGGCGGAGGAATCGAACTCGGGTCGGCCATGTTGGCCGCTTGTAAGGCGAGCGCCCTACCCGCTGTGCTATCGCTCCAGACCCACTTATCCAGTGGGATATCCAGATCCAGACTTATCACTTAAGTGTGATAAGTGTGAAACTAAAATTAGCATCATTGGGGCCAGAGAAATAGTATAGTATAGTTTAGTTTTATTTATTTTGGGGGGGTCATACCTGGCAGTGCTCAGTGCTTACTCCAGCGTCTGTGCTTAGAGGTTACTCCTGGAGGGCCTATAGGACCAAATGAGGTGCTGGGGATAGAACCTGGGTTGACTGCATGCAAGGCAAGTGCCCTACTCTCTGTACTATCTTTCCATCTTGCTCCTTTTAAAAAATATTGATTATATTGATGAAGGTATAAAGGGATCCATAGATAATCAGCAGAAATTGCTCCACCACCTTTGAGAGGGAAAATTTTGAGGTCTGGGAAATAATTCTGGGAACCTCCGGCTCCGGGCACATCTCTTTGATTCCACTGTTCTTCCTGCATTAACATACACCTCAGAGACCTGGGCCCACGCAAACAGGATGAGAACCTTATTTGGGTTTCCCAAAGAGGAATCGAAAGAGCTATGCTTGGAGTATCACGTTTCACTCAAATGAGAGAAAGAATCTGGCGTTCTGACCTCCGTGGACGATCAAGAATCAGGGACGCTGTCTTGTTTGCCAAGGTGTCAAAAATCAGATGGGCTGGTCATGACGACCACTGGACTAGAGCTGTTACCGACTGGATTCCACGGGACTCCAAAAGACCGCGTGGCCGCCCACCTACCAGATGGTCAGACTTCTTCACCAAGATCCTGAACAATCGGTTTGAGGCAATTCGTATTCCTAGAATGAACAGACACCACTGGGCTACACTAGCACGCAACAGGGACAAATGGAGACGTTACTGGCACCCACTCGAGCAACTCGATGATTAACAGGAAGTCAAGTGATCAAGTGATCAAGTGGGAAATAATTACCGAAGGTCAATTTTCCATTGTGGGGAATGCAATATCCTTAAGATTGCGGATTTTGGGTTACCACAAAAGAAGAGCGTTTGCCTTGCAAACATGAGGCCTTGAGTTTGATCCTGAGCGTGTCCCCATGTTTGGAATCTCCAGCCTAACAAAGTATACGGAGCTTTGGTCCTGCAAAACCAAGCGACCGTTCCCCAACTCCGTAACCCACTCCTGGGAACAAGAACTGCAACTGTGAAGGGAAGTCGGAGGGGAGGTTTCCTACGGGTATTGTGTTTGGACTACACCAGAGGATCGATGCCTGGCGTTTGACTCAGGGTCCCCCTAAAGCAGCCACAGGCAAGGCAAAAGGCTTATCCCCTAGGCGATGTCTCCACTCCCCCCCAAACTTCCTTTCTTCCCTGTATGTTTGTTTTGTGTTTCCTTCTGGCACAAATCCAGCGGTCCTGAGGGTTAACTCCTGGCTCTGCGCTCAAGGATCACTTTCTGGAGGGGAACTGGCGACGCCCTGGCCGGCTGGGGACAGCGCAGGGCCCCTGCACTGTCGCTCGGACGCCAAGTCACATGTTTATTTTCTTTTATTTTTGCTTTTTGGGTCACACCCGACAATGCACAGGGGTTACTCCTGGAGGTGCTCGGAGGACCATATGAGATGATGGGAATCGAACCCGGGTCGGCCGCGTGCAAGGCAAACTATCACTCCAGACCCAAGTCACATGTTTAAAGGGAAGGTCCCCACGCGTTCTCAGCTCACTGAACGGAACCGAGGCTGCTCTGGGATGACGTGGCTGTCACTAGTCCGTTTGCCTTGTATGAGTCCAGAAGGCAACAGGTGCAGCACGAGCTGCTCAGACGCGCGGGTACGTGTGAGCAAGGAAGGCTCCGGAGCGAGCCCGGGGAACCGGCACCTCCGCAGAACCAAGTGAGCCGGGCCGGCAGTCGAGCGACAGGCGCCTGCCACGTGACGCCCCTCCGCGTCCGCGCCAGTCTCGCGCGTGCGCGGCCTCCGCTCCGCCCACAGGGCGGGGCCTGCCGAGAGCGCCGGTGCGCAGGCGCGCGCCCGGCCCCGCCCCCTAGCGTCCGGACCGAGGGCGCAGGCGCGCTGGCCGGGGCCGCGATGGCAGGTGCAGGGTCGGGGCTGCCGGCGCTGCTGCTGCTCTCGCTGTGCGCGGCCGTCACCCGGGGCCTCTACTTTCACATCGGCGAGACCGAGAAGCGCTGCTTCATTGAGGAGATCCCCGATGAGACCATGGTCATCGGTCAGGAGGGCGCCGGCACGGGAGGGCCTGGGGGCGGGCGGCCGCGGGCGCGGCGGGACGTGATGCCCAGGTGTGCCCCGCAGGCAACTACCGCACCCAGATGTGGGACAAGCAGAAGGAGGTCTTCCTGCCCTCGACCCCCGGCCTGGGGATGCACGTGGAGGTGAAGGACCCCGACGGCAAGGTAGGCGTCCGGGCCGCCCCGGCTCCTCGCGGGGGACGCCGGCGAGGCGGCGGGGCTGACGGCGGCCCTCGGACCCCGGCCCTCCCCGTAGGTGGTGCTGTCCCGGCAGTACGGCTCCGAGGGCCGCTTCACCTTCACCTCCCACACCCCCGGCGACCACCAGATCTGCCTGCACTCCAACTCCACCCGGATGGCGCTCTTTGCCGGCGGCAGGCTGGTAAGACCACCTACCAGCACTGGGTCTCCCGCCGACGTCCTTGTAATTCGCTGCCACGGTCACGTCCCGGCGACAGCGGGGGGCGTCAGGGACTCCTCACCCTGACCTCGCGGTCCCGGCGATGGCGTGGGGCCCCCAACCCTGTCCTTTCCCGCTAGCGCGTGTACCTAGACATTCAGGTGGGGGAGCACGCCAACAACTACCCTGAGATCGCGGCCAAGGACAAGCTGACAGAGTTGCAGCTCCGAGCCCGCCAGCTGCTCGACCAGGTGGAGCAGATCCAGAAGGAGCAGGATTACCAGCGGGTAAGCCCCGCTCCCTGTGCCTGGACGCACACTTGACCTTTGCACCCACAGCACCTGCCGGAAGCTTCTACCTTGGGCGGTGTCGAGAGCCCAAGTGCTCAGAGAATAAGCGGGCAGGTCTTGCTTCTGCACGACTCGGTCCCCCCTTTGGCTGCCTTCTGATGCCCCTGGGAGTCCCACACATTGGTGTCGCCAGGGCACACGTGCTTTCGGCTTTGCACAGTTAGTTTCCTTGCACCAGAGAAAGCCCTTCTCACAACTGGTGTTGTGGAGCCAGTCACCAGAAGCAGTGCCACCAGGGTGGTACGTGGCACATGGGGTGGAGCCAGGGACCCATCTCAGACCCTGATGCATGCCAGGTGGGCGCCCTACCACCAGCAGGCTCCCCCCTCCCCCCATGGCTGCTGTTAAGCCCTGAAATGACAGGGAGAACATTCCCAATCTAGCAGAAGCCACTGGCCATCTGTTTACCTGGAGCTCTTTCTTGAGATGGTAGAAAAGTGATTTGTTTTTGAAAAAATTCTTACTTTGGGGGCCACATCTGGCATTGCTCAGGGTGTACTCTTGGCTCTGCTGTCAGGGATCACTCCTGGTGGACTTGGGACCATATGGGATGCTGGGGATTGAACCGGCTGCATCGAAGGCAAGCACTTCACCTTCTGTACTATCACTCTGGCCCCAGAAAGGTGATTTCTGTGCAGCAGGGATACTTGTGGAAGGCCTGTTGCCCCCTATGGAAGCAGAGGCTGTCTTCCAGAAGACACTGGTTTCCATGGCCGAGTCACTGATGGGGCTGGCCCTCCTGCATCTTTGATTCTGGATCTCTTTTCTCACTAGTATCGTGAAGAGCGCTTCCGCCTGACCAGCGAGAGCACCAACCAGAGAGTCCTGTGGTGGTCCATCGCGCAGACGGTCATCTTCATCCTCACTGGCATTTGGCAGATGCGTCACCTCAAGAGCTTCTTTGAGGCCAAGAAGTTGGTGTAGTGCCCTCTCTGTGAGCCTCCCTTCACCTCATTTTGGTACTGTTCCTCACCTGATACCTTACCCACAGGGATACTGAGGGGGGAATCTGGAAAAAAAAAAAAGAAAAAAGAAAAAAGGGACATAAGGCTCCTTGGTTCCAGGGCTCCCAGCACTTTGCCCAGCCACTGGCTAGCATTGGTTCTCCAGGACACAGGGCAGGGGCCCAGGCTTTCAAAGATCCCTCCTGGGTTCTGAGCCGTCTCCTCCCTGCCACCTGTGATTCGCCTCCATCTTATTACAAAATGAGCAAATGAAAAAAAAAAAAAGACCCTTTCTCCTTTCCTTTTCTACTCACACAGTAGATAAATGAAGTATCCCACCAGAGGGCCTCGCTCCCCAGCCTGCCCCTATTCACTCAGTGACTGTGAATGTAAATAAGGGGCAGGACCTGGCTCCCAAAGATGGCAATGTTTTTCTATATATTAGAACTATATTTTGATAAATCCTGTTTTCCTTCTTAGTTGAAGTGACCCTGGCCTGTGTGACGAGTGGAAACACCAATACTGTTCCCTCTAGTCTTAGCCATGCCCTTTTAGTCACTACTGTGGTAGCTGGCAAGATTTTCACAGGCTGTGGGTCCCCAGGGGACATCATAGGTTCTTTGGGGGCTGGAGAGGTAGCACAGCGAGGAGGGTGCATTTGCCTTGCACGCAGCTGACCCAGATTTGATTCCCAGCATCCCATATGGTTCCCCCGAGCACTACCAGGAGTAATTCCTGAGTGCATGAGCCAGGAGTATCCCAAGCATTGCCAGGTGTGACCCCCAAAAAAGCAAAAAAAAAAAAACCCACATTTTTTTGGAGCCCTTTTGGAGGGCAGAGCTGAGACCCTGGTGATAGCTGGGATGCCCATCACACAGCCTGAGAACACGAACAAACAGTGCCAGCTAGCATGAGGCAGATGTGCCAGCCTCCGTCTCCCTTAAATCTTTATTTGAGCCGTGGTAAATGTTGTCTTCACAGGAGCCAGATCCGTTCCTTATACAGATTTTACCAGTGAAATAAAAGGTGTTGCAGTAGCTGTGTTTGAAGTCAGAGATTGGGGCCAATGGGCAGCATGGAGGGACATGGAGAGAAGGCTCCTGGATGGCCTCTGGCTCACCAGGAATGGACGTCAGTGGGGAATATAGGGAGGGGAGGGCCTGCAGTGTATTTTGGGGAAAGGGGATGGAAAGGGGGGTAGTATAGCCATTCACAGAGGACAGCCAGGGCCATTTGTAAGCAAGGAACCATAGGAGATCAAGCAGCTGTTTCTGGCCTCCAGCACCGAAGACATACTTCGGCCTTGGCACACTTCTGCCTTGCCTTGCTGCTGTTACAACGGAATGCCATGACTTGCCCATTTTTGATATCTTATGATTTTATTTATGTTTGTTTGAAATACATCCTCTGGGGCCAGAGTAATAACTACAGCAGGGAGGGCACTTGTCTTGTACATGGCCGACTCGGATTCGATCCCTGACAGCTACATATGGTTCCCCAAGCCTGCCAAGAGTGATCCCTGAGTGCACAGCCAGCCCTGAAGACCTATGGATGTGACCTAAAGAAGTAAAAATCTATGCTTATTGATTTGACCAACAGAACTTGATTCGTGTTTTCCTCTATTTTTGTATACTATTCCATATATGTATTTTTTATTCTTTTGGGTCCACACCCAGCTGTATTCAGGGCTCACTCCTGGCTGTGTGCTCAGGGTTTACTCCTTACAGGACTCAGGATCCTTATAAGATGCCAGGATTGAACCTGGTCAGCTATGTGCAAGGCAAGCATTTAAGCCCTGTATATCTCTCTGGCCCGATATAAGGTTTTTTTTGGGGGGGGGGGGCGGGGGAGGTCACACCTGGCAGTGCTCAGGGGTTACTCCTGGCTCTGCACTCAGGAATCACTCCTGGTGGGGGTTGCAGGACCATATGGGATGCCAGGGATCAAACCTGAGACAACCATGTACAAGGCAAGTGCCCTACCTGCAGTACTATTTCTTGGGCCCCATGGGGCTGACTTTAATAGGTCTCCAGTGGCAGACAGTTAAGTTCATTACAGTTACACTGATAGGTCAGTAAGTCCTGAGGTTTTTTTGAGAATTTTTGGTGGAAGGGGTGGAAATGAGGACTAAAGTGGGAATTCATTGAAGATTTATCCTGATTGGGCGGGAGGAACAGGAGGGGTTGATGGTTGGTGGCTGTGGGCAAAACGATTCCCCCCTCAAATGTAATCTGTATATAGTATTCACAATTTTTTTTCATTTTTTATGATTTTATTTATTGAATCACCGTGTGAGTAGTTACAAAGCTTTTGGGTTTAAGTCTCGGTCATACAATGAAACACCCGTACCTTTGCCAGTGCCCATTCTCCACCACCAACAACCCCAGTATACACCCACCCCACACCCTCCCCCTACCTGTGGGCAGATGATTTCCACATTACTCCCTCTCTACTTTGATCACATTCAATATTTTGACACCAGACCCACCATTATTATTTGAAATTTTACCCCAACACTTAGATCTGCTGAAAAGGCAACAGTAGACAATTTGTTTTCTATTGCTGGTTATGAATAACATATGATGTCACGTGGCTGCAGTAGTGGCCACGTGATTTTGCAATTATGAAATTTTAACACTTAAATCTGGAGGGATTTCTGCCAAAACCTGCTGGGTTCCGAGATTTGTTCCTGAGTCTCTGGGATCATGGTCGTTAAGCAGCTTGATCAGGAGCCAGAGAGGCCGTTCATGGGCGATGACTTGGGGTCTTGTTGGGGTGGGGAGGACAGGACCAGCTCCACCCCCATCCCGTGAGGCCCAAAATGTCTCATCACTGTGGGCCCAAACCTGACCAATGGCCTCTGAAGGATGATGGCCACCGAGCCACCAGGGGGAAGCAGGCGGAGGGACAACACCCTTTCCCTCCTGGGGTGGCCTGGCAACAGTAACCTAATGCGTGGTCCAGACTCATTTCTGCCAAAAGCCGCTGGGTTTTGAGATTTGTTTCTGAGTCTCTGGGATCATGGCCGTTAAGCACCTTGATCAGGAGCCAGAGTCTTGGGTCTTGTTGGGGTGGGGAGGACAGGACCAGCTCCACCCCCATCCCCTGAGGCCCTGCGTGTCTCGTCACTGTGGGCCCAAACCTGACTGTCCAGTGGCCTCTGGAGGATGGCGGCCACCAGGGGGAACAGGCCAAGGCACGAAACCTTTTCCCACCTGGGTTGGCCCAGCACCGGTAACCAACTGCAGGGACCGGACGCATTTCTGCCAAAAGCTGCTGGGATTTGAGATTTTTTTCTGAGTCTCTGGGATCATGGCCATTAAGCAGTTCAATCAGGAACCAGAGAGGCCATGCCTCCTTCCAATTATATAGCTGAGCCGGAGGTGGTGTGTGGGTGTTTTTCCCACATACCTAACTTTTGACCGTTTACTTTCTTGGTAAACTTGGCCCCAAGTTTTTGGGGTCTGGCCAAAGGCACAGCAGCAATTTTGGGGTATCTGGAAGTCTGAAGGTGCCATCAGGCTGCTGATGCACTCGCCTCACAGGTACAGATTGACCTGTTGGTGGCATCATACCCCCTTCACAAAATATTTTAAATTTTTGGGTCCACACTCGGTGGTGCTCAGGGATCACTCCTGGTAGTTTTTGAGGGGCCATATGTGGTGCTGGTTATCCAAATGGTTTTACAAGGCAATTTCTTTATTCACTGTACTGTCTCATTGGCTCTGTTTGACTACATCAAAGGGATTCTGGTGATTCCTATTACCCTGATTTCATTCTTAACTGTCCTGCGGGATAAAATAAGAACACTTTTCCACAAGAACATTTTCCCACGAGAAAAGGGGGTTCATTGTCTTCTATTGTCTCTGGCCCAGTGCCCACCTTTATATGTGGGTCCTAGTGTTGATTTAACTGGTGCATGAATAGGAGTCTCTTTCAGCCCAGGATTTGGTCCTCACATTGAGTCCATGTCATTGCAGACACAGTCGTTCAGTGCTCTATGATAAAGTAGGTTTGTGTTTGGGGTGGAATGGTAACCACTTACGTAACCTATCAGCTCCTATCACCAACATTTTTTTTGGGGGGGCCACATCTGGTGGTGCTTGGGAGGTTGCTCCAGTTCAGCAACATGTGTGTGAGTTACCAGAAAGGAGAGGAAAGCAAGAAATTAATAACCCCTCTACAGTCTCCAGAATGGAATGCAGCCCAAGCACATCTTGATTTCTTGTTTTGTTTTTGGGCCACACCCAGCAGTGCTTAGGAATCACTCCTGGCAGGGCTGGGGTGGGGGGTAGGGGGGGAGACGGACCATATATAGTGGAGATGACCCCCGCTTGCACATGCCTTAATTGCCGTCTATCTGGCCCTTATATCTTGATTTCAAGTCCAGCTGGGGACCTGTGTCAGGCTCCTGACTTCCGTTAACTATAGAATAATCAGTTTTAAGCTACTACATTAGTTATAGCAACGACAGGAAGCTGTTATCCAGGTGGAGGCCAAAAATTTCTGTATTTGGTTTTGGGGCTAAGCCAACTGTGCTCAGGGCACTGTGCTCAGGCATTCCTCCTGCTGGGGAGGGGGGCGGGGGTGGGCGCCTTAATCGCATACCGTCTCTCCGCTAGGAACCAAATACTCCTCATTCATTAACCAAGCTTCCGGGAACTGATGGGCAGCTCCGGGGACCCAAGTCAACCTACCTGACTTCCAGCTACGCACTCTCCCCGCCGCAGGCACCCGAGGGTTCGGGCGAGAGTGTGGCCAGGGAGACCCCTGGCACGGCCAGGCTCGAGCGCCCGCCCTCCCGCCCCCGCAGCTTCCGGCGGCTCCCGGCGGCTCCCGAGCCTCCGCGCCGGAAGCCCCGCCTCCACACTTCCGGGAGGCGGCCCCGGCGCCGATTGGTGGTTGCTGAGGCCCGCCCCATAGCGACGCGCGCTTCCCTCCGCGCGTGCTTCCGGCCCGCGACCCCGCAGCATGGCCGAGGAGGAGTCGCTGGGCTTCCGAGACTTCGGGCTCGACCCGCGGATCCTGCAGGTACCGGGAGGGCCGCGGGGACCGGGCGGGAGGAGCGGCCGCCTTCCGGGCGTCACTTTGGTTCCTCCTAGGCCGTCGCCGACCTGGGCTGGGAGCGCCCCACGCCGATCCAGGAGAAGGCGGTGCCGCTGGCCCTGGACGGGAAGGACCTGCTGGCGCGCGCGCGCACGGGCTCGGGGAAGACGGCGGCCTACGCGCTGCCGCTGCTGCAGCGGCTGCTCCTGCTGAAGGCGGTGCGTGGGCCGCGGGCGGGCCCGTTCTCTCCTCCCTTTCGCACGCCGGCGGGCCTAACTCGGGAACCCCCAACCCTGCATTGGCGTTGGTGCATTGGCGTCGCTCCGTAGCCGGTGGCTTGTTTCTTTTAAGGCTGAGCTCTTAGGGGACCGGGGGAGCACCCTTCTTTCCCAGCTGGGTAAAGGTGACGAGGGCTGATGAAAACGCAGCTCACTCCTTTGGTTGGGCCCGTGACAACTGTTTCCGGTGGTCTGGAAGAAGAGGGTCCGTGATGACACAGATTCCTGCGCTTGCAGACAGGCCCAGCTGTCGAACAGGCAGTGAGAGGCCTTATCCTCGTGCCCACCAAAGAACTGGCCCAGCAGGCCCAGACCATGGTCCAGCAGCTCACGACCTACTGTGCCCGCGATATCCGGGTGGCCAACATCTCGGCCAGTGAAGCCTCAGCTTCGCAGAGGTGCGTAGAGACAAGTGCAGGCCTGGTCACGGTCACCGTCTGCCCAGGAGGTGGACGGTGGGCTCGGGCTGTGTGTGGGGAGAAAAGGGGCTGGTGCGGGATGAACCCCAGCTGCCTCCCGCCTGCAGGGCTGTGCTCATGGAGAAGCCAGACGTGGTGGTTGGGACCCCCTCTCGCGTGCTTCACCACCTGCAGCAGGACAATCTGAAGCTCCGTGACTCCCTGGAGCTGCTGGTCATGGACGAGGCGGACCTTCTCTTCTCCTTTGGGTTTGAAGAGGAGCTTAAGAGTCTTCTTTGGTAAGGAATAGACGTGGGGGCTATGAGAAGCGCCTAGGGACCCCACCAGTGTGGCCCACCCTTTTCTGACCATAGCCTGCCTTCCATCCTTACCGCCTTCATTCCTCTGCCCGCCCCCCCCCATCCTACTGGACGGTCCCTGCTCTCCTGTCCCGGCCCCCACCTCACCCCATTTATGAGATATTTATGAGATGTTCACCTGTGGCCCCCTTGGAACATTCTCCGAGCTCCACAGAGGCCCTGGAGACCCCATTTGGAAAATGCTGATCTGGACTGTCGGGGAGGGGGGTCGGAGCCCTCGGAGCTGAAGTCTCATGGCTCTCTGCTTTGTTGCAGCCACCTGCCCCGCATTTATCAGGCGTTTCTCATGTCAGCCACTTTCAATGAGGATGTTCAGGCACTCAAGGAGCTTGTTCTGCACAACCCGGTGAGGTCTTCAGAGGGCACCAGGATCCCCATTCATGACCCCATTCATGTTCAGAGGACTTCATTCTTTTTTCTTTTTGCGTCACACCAGCAATGCACAGGGTTACTGCTGGCTCATGCACTCAGAAATTACTCCTGGCAGTGCTCGGGGGACCATATAGGATGCTGGGAATCGAACCTGGGTCAGCTGCGTGCAAGGCAAATGCCCTACCTGCTGTTCTATCGCTCCAGCCCCGAGGACTGATTCTTCCTTTCCGGAGGAATCAAGTGGTGGGGCAGCTGGTCACCCCTCTGCAGAGGCCTCGGTGTGGGCTTCTGGAGGCACCCTGAGATCCTTCTGGGCAGAAGGATGCACTGAATAGTGGTTCCAGTTCTTGCCTCATGTGAATTTGATGCTCCCAAAAATTGGTTGATGCGGCATTCACTTTTTTCCTTAGAGGAAATTTATTGTCATTTCTTTTATTTTGCTTATTTATTTTGAATCACATCTAGCAATGCTTCTGACTCTGCACTCAGGAATTACTCCTGGCAGCGCATGGGGGACCCTATGGGGTGCCGGGGATAGAACCCCAGTCAGCTGCACACAAGGTGTATGTTCTCCCCACTGTACTGTTACTCCGGCGCCAGCTGTTGTCATCTTTTTCTTTCTGTTCCTCATCCCAAATGACTTCCCCAGTAGTAAATGCACTTGAACTGAGAGCTTGTATGTGAGAAATAATCAAACTGCTACTGAAATACAACTTGAGGGGTTGGAAAGATAGTGTAGCAGGTGGGTTGGGGGGGAGGGGGCGACTTGCCTTGTATCTAGCAGATCTGAGTTTGATCCCCAGCATCACATATAGTCCCACCTGCTAGCAGAGACCCTGAGCACCGCCGAGTGTGACCCCAAAACCACCTAAACAAACAAACAAAAAAACCCACATCCCTTGTACTCAGGGAACACTCCTGGCATCCTGGGAGACCATATAGAATGCTGGTGGTCAAACCCAGGGTGTGTGTGTAAGGCCAGAACCCTCCTTGCTGTCATCTCGCCCTAGCTCCCCTTGGTTTTTAGGCTGTGTGTTGCAGGGGCCCAGGACGCCTCGTGCGACGTGTCTGTACTGAACTCGGGGGCACAGGCTGCCGGGAGCATTCTGTCTTCGCCTCTGTCCTGACCACGGCCCGGTCCTCCCTCAGGTCACCCTCAAATTGCAGGAATCGCAGCTCCCCGGGCCAGACCAGTTAGAACAGTTTCAGGTGGTTTGCGAGACGGAGGAAGATAAGTTCCTCCTGCTGTACGCACTGCTCAAGCTGTCGCTGATTCGGGGCAAGTCTCTCCTCTTTGTCAACACGCTGGAGCGCAGTTACCGGCTGCGCCTGTTCCTCGAGCAGTTCAGCATCCCCAGCTGCGTGCTCAATGGCGAGCTCCCGCTGCGCTCCAGGTACCGGTGCTGGGCGTTGCTCCTGGTTCAGCCGTGATAAGCCGCTGAGGGTGCCAAGGCGCAGAGGCTAGGTGTGGGAGGGGTCGCGGTGCAGGTAACAAGGAAATAAGGGTGCAGCTGTGGGGCACTGGCTCTGGTTGCTGGCCTTCCCTGACTGTCCCTGGCCATCACTGGCCATCCCGCTGCCGACCTGCAGGTGTCACATCATCTCCCAGTTCAACCAGGGCTTCTACGACTGTGTCATTGCCACGGACGCTGAGGTCCTGGGTGCCACCATCAAGGGCAAGCGTCGTAGCAAAGGACCAAAGGGAGACCAGTAAGTTCCTGGCCCGCTCCTCCCGGCCACCCCAGAGATCTGCTTTCCAGCCTTGCAGAGGACGCAGGCAGGAGTCCAGGGCCCCCGGGCCTGCAGGGCTGCCCTCTGTCAGGGTGGGTGGTGAGGGGCACACAGGCCCCTGTGGACACCGCCTGTATGACCGCTGGCTATCGTCTGTTTGGAAGGCCTGCCCTGTGCTGGGTGTAGAGAGTGGCCTGGAGGTTTTGAGAGCTGGGCAGGATCCTTGGGCTCATGTAAGACCTGCAGAATCCTGGGCTCTGGTCCAAGGACAGGCACGGATGCCACGTGGGTTGTCACCAGAATGGTCCTTGGCGGGAACAAGATTTCCTGACCTGATGTGGCGGAGGGAGGTCCCCCCCAGCAGGTGGCTGGGTTGGGGGAGCTCTGTGCCTTCACCAGAGCTGCGTCAGTTGTCCCCCTGAGCAATCTTGTAGAAGAGGCCCTGCTGGGTCGGGCTTGTGCTCTTCTCAGTGGGGTCTGTGCGGGCTGACAGGGTCTCTCCTGCAGAGCCTCCGGTGACCCCGAGGCCGGAGTGGCCCGGGGCATCGACTTTCACCACGTGAGTGCCGTGCTCAACTTTGACCTGCCCCCAACCCCCGAAGCCTACATCCACCGCGCGGGCAGGTAGGGAGCTGGACGTGGGGGCAGGGGGCACTGAGAGAGCCGCGTCCGCTGACTCACTGGGGGTCCCTGCAGGACTGCGCGCGCCAACAACCCAGGCACCGTGCTGACCTTCGTGTTACCTGCCGAGCAGTCGCACCTGGGCAGGATGGAGGCGCTTCTGGGTGGAGGTGAGAGTCGGACGTAATAAGGATCAGACACTGTTCCCTGCACTGGACACATGCGAGGTGCGGTCCAGTAGCTGCTTTGAGGGGAGACGGGAACCGGGAGACTGGTGGCATCTGGGCAGGGTTGGAGAGGGGCCTGCTGCGCGGGCTTCTGGGCAGCTCGTGATGGCTGGCCTCATCCTGGGGGGAGGCGGGTAGGGAGGCTTTCGGTCCCCCAGGAGGGTCTAGATCAGACGGTCCGACTGTGCAGGCTGGTGATGTGGAAGGAGAGGGTCTGGGGCTTACACAGGGTAGGGTGTCGGGGCTCTCCCTGCTGCTTCCGCTGGTTGTGGCCGTGCCTTCCTACGGGCTGGCCATGCTGTGGGACCCCACGCACTATGGCACCAGCACTAAGACAGCGCAGCTGAGGGTCCCTCTGGTCCCCTCTGATGGCTGGGCCGAGGGTCCCCTCTGATGGCTGGGCCGAGGCTCGGGGATGGGGCATCCCCAGGAAGCAGGCAGGAGCAGGGCAGCCACCTGAGGACGTTGTTGGAGTCTGGGCCTTGCCTTCCCCACAGAGCCCGGGACACCGCTCCTGCTCCCCTACCAGTTCCGCATGGAGGAGATAGAGGGCTTCCGCTACCGCTGTAGGGTGAGTGGGGTGCCCGGGGGAGGGCAGGGAGGGGGGCAGTGGGGTGGGGGCAGCTCCTGGTCCTGATGGTCAGCACCCCCGCAGGATGCCATGCGCTCAGTCACCAAACAAGCCGTGCGGGAGGCCAGGCTGAAAGAGATCAAGGACGAGCTGCTCCACTCCGAGAAGCTCAAGGTGAGGGCGGGGGCGGCTCGGTAACCTTAGCTGCCGCCGTAGGGCCCCTGCACGTGCCACACTGATGGGAGGGGCCTGGTTTTGTCCGTTTTTTGTTTTGTGTTTTGGGGTGGCCACTACCTGCCGTACTCAGGACTTTGTCCCGGTGGGCTCAGGGGCTGGAAACTGGGTCTGCCTCCTGTGAGGCTGCACCCCAGCTGTGCTCCTGCCACGATTATATCTTCTTTGAAGGGGGGTGCGGTGTGCATAAGCCCGGGACCCTGCTCTGTCGGCCAGCTGTGCATGGAGAGCAGAGCCTGGTCCCCCCGTCAGCTTCTGGGAGTCTCGCCAGCTTTGGGTCCGGTGGGCAGGACTGCCCCGTGCCTGACAATGGTGCCACCTCTTTCCTCGTCAGACCTACTTTGAGGACAACCCCAGGGACCTGCAGCTGCTGCGTCACGACCTACCCCTGCACCCCGCCGTGGTGAAGCCTCACCTAGGCAATGTGCCTGACTACCTGGGTGAGTGGGCCCTTGGGTGGTGGTGGTCGCCTGCACACCTGGCGCTCTTGCTCTCAAGTCCAGCCCATGGGGGTGGGGGGGCGCCGTGGGCTGGCATCTTGGGCAGTCAGAGGACAGTGTCGGAGAAGATGGGGCCTGTGGTCAGGAAGAGGATGATCGGTCTGGAGTCGCTTCCATGTGCCCACGCAGGGCTCAGGGCACGGGTTCCCCTGACCGAGAGGCTGGAAGGGCTGGAGGGGAGGCTCCTGCGCCTCCTAGGAATGGGTAAGAGCCAGTGGTAGGTCGTCAGGGTGGGAAGGGGACAGATGGGGAGATTGGCGAGTAGTGAGGACCCGATCCCCAAGATGGCAAGTTGCAGAGGGCCAGGTAAGGGCATCCGGGGAGGGTTGGAGGAATTCATCTTTGTTAGGTCAGTGTGGAACCGAGGGCCCAGGTCTGATATGCAGAGTCTCCCGGAGGGAAGGAAGAGGTGTGGGGGCTATGTGTGTGCGAGTGCACTGCATGTGGCTGTGCTGAGGGCTCACTCCTGTTGGGCTTGGGGGACTATAGAATACCAGGGGTTGAACCTGGGTGAGCCCGCACAAGGCTTCACTGGTGTCCTGTTGCTATAACCCCGGAGGAAGGGGGAACTTTTGTCAGATACTACACAGCACAGCTTTCCTGCGTACACTGCTTCCAGGAGGCTGACTTAGAGAATTCTGGTGACCCCCTGGCCTGCCCCTTGAGTGCCACTGATGGTGCACTTGATGCCTCGGAGTTCCCGTGTGCTGACTGGCACCTCGCCTTTCCTTGGCATTGCTTGTGTTGCATGCTGGGGACTGGGCCAGACCTCACACACGTAGTTCAGAACTTGACTACCCTGCCACAGCCCTGGCCCCGCTTGCTGGCCGGGAGTGCTAGTCATGGGGGTCAGACCTGGATTGCTGGCCGGGTGTGGGCATGGCCCTTGGGGCCAGAGGCTCCGTGTAAGCCACAGCTTGGTGTTTCTCTTCAGTTCCTTCTGCTCTTCGTGGCTTCGTCCACCCTCACAAGAAGCGGAAGAAGCCATCCTCCTCTAAAAAGACCAAGGTTGGTTCCCCGGGGGCTGCAGTAGCTCAGGACTCCCTGCCCCTCCCCGCAGTCCCATGGCCACCAGGATGCCTGTGCCCTCGGAGCTGGTGACTTTGCTGCTTCACATGCCTGTCTGTCCTGGGGAGGAGGAAGGGCAAAGTGACCTCTGCCTCTCTGGACACTGCTTTGGGGCTCACCACCCACCCTGCGTGTCTTTCTGAGGTCGGGACTCAGATGGGCCCCACTGACCACAACTCTGCTCCCCCTAGAAGAAGACTCAGAACCCGCTGCGTAGCTTCAAGCACAGAGCGAGACCCAGACCTGCAGTGAAAACTTCGTGAGCACCAGGCAGCCATCACTGTCTGCCAGGCTTCCTGGATGAGGAGACTGCAGGGGAGAGTGGAGTCAGCCCTGGACAGGGCCATAGTCCCACCCCCTAGAGACTCGATTTGGGGCTGGACAGAGCTGTGGGTCACGGTCCTGCCAGGTGGACATTTTGCACCTCGAACGGAATAAAGATTCTCTGCCCTGGTTGTCTCCTTCATGGAGGAGGGGACCAGCCCCCAGTCAAGGCCTGACTGCCCCGTGTGTCCATTCATGTGCCCCTGACTGCACATGGCAGCTGAGTGCTACCTTCGGGGCTCTCTAGTGTGTGGTCTGGTCACAGCCACCCCTGGCCCTCCTGCTCTCTCTGGGCACCTCTTCAGCTAGGATTGTAGTCATCCACCTGGAGGCTATTGTTCAAGCACCAGGAACTGCCTGTCAGTACTCCTGTCCTTACTGTGTGTGTGTACGTGCGTGTGTGTGTGGGGGGGGGTCACACTTGGTGCTCTGGAGACCGTATATTGTAGCTTGGATTGCACTGGCATGTCAGATAATGCTTTTCCACCCTACCCTAACTCTTGGGCCCTCATCCTTGTTTTCAATTAATGGATACTGGCATTCACGCTCTGCCCTGCTGCTGGGCCTCAGCAGGACCCAGCCCCTGACAGTCAGAGCAGGAGGCCTCTGCTTATCTGTCACTGGAGCTGTGTGGCTGCTCAGGGCTAGGCTGTGAGGCTGGAGGAGTCAGGATGGGCCGTGTGTGGGTCTGGGGATGCACAGTGGGAAGGCCGTATGCCTGCCACGAGACCAGGTATATACACACACAACACACACACCCCCTTCCCGCACACGCACACACCCTTACCCCCTGATCTCCCCCCCGACACACACACACGCCCTCCCTGCCAAAGTTGTTTTTACAGTGCTGGGGCTTGAACCTGGGGCCTCCTGCACCCAGCCCTCACCCTGAGTGGCAGCAGCACCAGTACTACCGAGCACAGGGGCTAGGTGGCCCTCCGATTTGGGCTCTTCCCTGCTTGCTAATTTGGGAGGATTTCAGAGTTACCAGGGGCAGGGGTGTGTCGCCAGTTAGGTGCAGCCGGGAGCCCCACTATTGGCCTCTTGGGATGCGTTAAGGAGAGGCAGTTCATGGACCGATGGAAACGGCAGGGGGTCACTGCTCAGACCTGGAACCCCAACCTGGGTCTTGCCTCTGCTTCTCGAGCCCTTCGTCCCTCTGACCTTTGCTGCCAATGAGCAGGCACCTAGCCCCAACAGAGGCAGTTGCACATACTGGTGCCCCTTGAAGTTTCTTTGTTTTGTTTTGTTTTTCCTTAAATTTTTATTAGTAGAAAAAAGATTTTTATTAGTAAAACACCATGAGGTACAGTTGTAGACTTAGAAATTTTTGTGCTTGGGTTTCAGTTATACAATGATCGAGTACCCATCCCTCCACCAGTGCCCATTCTCCACCACCAATGATCCCAGTATCTCTCCAACCCTCCATTCCCTCCCCCCCTCTGGCAGGGCATTCCCTTTTGTTATCTCTGGTTTTGTTTTTGGGCCATATCAAGCGGTGCTTGGAGTTACTCTAACCCATGCACTCAGGAATTGGGGGCTGGAGCCATAGTACAGTGGGTAGGGCATTTGTTTGATCCCATCACTACATAACGGTTCCCTGAGCACTGCTAAGAGTGGGCCAAAAACTTTAAGGAATTATTTCTGGTGGGTTTGGGGACATGGTATGCCAGGGATCAAGCTGGGTTGGCTGTGTACATGGCCAGCACCCTCCCTCTGTTCTCCAGGGCTGGGTGGGGGCTGGGTGAACCTCCACTGCGTTTGAAGATGTGCTATGGGCTGGGTATGTAACTTCTCTGGGGAGCTCTGAGAGTTTTCTGGTGCAGGTGGTATCTGGGGGCGCCTGGACACGGGCAGGTGTGTCGAGGCCAGGAGTTAAGTGATGCCCAGCTCATACAGGTCTGCTTCTCGACAATACTTGCTTGGGGAAGCTGCTTGTACCATGCCATCCCTGCGCACAGCCCCTGGAGAGGTCTCTGCTGGTCCCTGCACGGCACCTGGCGGGGCCCCTGTCTGTTGGGGCAGCACCCTCTCAGGTCAGCCTCCACCGATCTGATGCCGAGTCCGTGACCTGAGCAGCAGATCCAGACACATTTGGGCGGGCTCTGGGATGGACATGGCACCTTGGACCTGAAGCTGGAGTGTGCGTGCAACAGCCCCTTAGGGACTATCTGGTCAGCAAATAAGCTTGGCCAGTGTCCAGCTGGCTGACACTTGGGGCTTGCATCGGGACGTGCCATGGGCCAGGGGGCCCATTTCTGCCCTGGCCACAGCCATGCCCATATGTCACCTTGAAGGGCTTGGTAAGTGCTCAGACGGACAAGCCACTCAGCCCCTGCATATGGAGAACTTGGTGGTGACGGGAATCAACCCTCCATGGCCAGAGAGGTAACGCAAGGGCTGAAGTTCTTCTGAAGCTGACCTTGGTTCAATCCCTAGTACCATTTGGTCCTCTGAGCACTGCCCAATGCAGCCAGGTCTCCAGGGCCCAGGAGACGGCTCCGTGCCTTAGCTTTACCTGGGGAATGTAAGACGGCTTGGCCCCCGCTGCTACCCCACGCTGTCATCCTGACTGCTCTCATGCCGGTCACACCTCACTAGCAGGAGGAGGTGTGTGGGCATCCAGCCGGGGGTCAGACCTGTATGAGTTGGGTCGTCCTCTAAGCCCAGTGATGTTCCCAGCCCCAAACCGGATTCTTTCTGAAAAGGTGAAAAACAGCCAATGTAATTGAGAAGGGCTAAAGACAAGTGGAAACCCTGGTTCCGTCTCTGGCAGTCTCCTGGAGACCCCCAAACAGCACCAGGAGTGACCCTGAAAACGGCCAGGTGCAGCCCCAAATCTCCCTCCCCTCCCACAAAGGCACTGGTGTTTGCACACGGTGCGGAGGAAGTTGGGGTGATAACAGCAGGGTGAACAGTGTGTGCACAGAAACCTCTGGACCCAGAGTGAAGCAACCAAGGGCATTTCCCACTTGGGACTTAGGACTCAGATTGGGGGGCATTATTTGTTCCTGGGACTTTGGTCTTTAGCAGCATTCCCAGGAGGGTGGCTGTGCAGGGAACGTGCCCCACCAAATGCCGGGTCTCCAGGAGGGGCGGTCAGCACAGCCATGCTCAGGGGCTTCTGTGGCTGGCACTGCTTCCTGGGGCCGGGGAAGGCAGCTCTGCCAGAGACTGCAGCGGCTCTGTGCAACCCAGGGAGTGGCACTTTCTGAGTTCTTCTGTCCCTGTCTGACCACATGTCCACTCAGGTTGGACAGGCTGAGCAGAAGGGGCAGCAGTTGCAAGCAGCTCTGAGGTGACACCTTACTGCCTCTCCCCAGAAGCACTGTCGCTTTGGGCTTGGGGTCACTCCGGTAGTACTTAGGGGAGAGGCCAGCAGTGCTGGGGAGTCCTGCCTGGCGGTCCAGGGTCAAAGCAGGGCTCAGGCCAGAGAGAAGAGGAGGATATCACCGACTCAGGTTCCATGCCTGACATCTCGTACGGTCCCCTGAGCACCACTGGGTGTGTCTAATACATTACCCCACGCCCTGCCAGAGTCCAGATGAACCTGGTGCTACCTTTGGCAAACCCGGTGTGGACCCTTAGCTAGCCAGAGCCTCTTCCAGGAACCCGGCTGACCTTCAGCCTACACTTCCCGCTCCTCCAGCCTTTCTCTCCTCGCTGTGCTCTTGTGGCCTTGTCTTCGCCCTGACCTGGAGCTCCTGAAGGCAGTGACACACCCCCTTCTTAGGGAAGACTTTGCCTGGGGATTTTCTCTGCTTCCTGGGAATACAATTTTACAATACTTTCTCGCACTCAAGCCCCTTAAAGGAGTGTTTCCAGTTAAGTGGAAAGAGGGGGTTGGAGGAATAGTACATAGGAAGGGCATTCGCCTTGTACACAGCTGACCCAGCTTTGATCCCCAGCATCCCATATGGTCCCCCAAGTCAGGTGTAAGCCCTGAATACCTCTGGGTCACTTGTTCACTTGATCGCTTGACATCCCGTTACTCATCGATTTGCTTGAGTGGGCACATCCCTGTCAAGTGCTAGTGTAGCCCAATGGCGTCTGCTCGCTCCAGGAACACAAAGAGCTTCAAACCATTCGTTCAGGGTCTTGGCGAAGAAGTCTGACCATCTCGTAGGTGGGCGGCCACGCGTTCTTTTGACGTCTCGTGGAATCCAGTCGGTAATGGCTCTAGTCTAGCAGTCGTCTTCAAATCGCATTATGTGTCCAGCCCATCTGGTTTTCGATGCCTTGGCAAACGGAACAGTGTCCCTGATTCTCAATCGTTGATGGAGGTCAGAACTCCGGATTCCTTCTTTCACTTGAGTGAAGTGTGATACTCCAAGCATAGCAATTTTGATTCCTCTTTGGGTGACCCGAATAGCGTTCTCATCCTGTTTTTGTAGGGCCCAGGTCTCTGAGGCGTATGTTAGTGTAGGGAGAATGGTGGAGTTGAAGAGATGTGCCTGGAGCCGTAGGATTTTCATCCTCCTAGCTATTTCTTCGACGCTCTTGAAGACGTTCCATGTTGCTGTCTTCCTCCTGCACAGCTCAGGTGCCAGGTCGTTCATCATGTTGAGTTTTCTACCTAGGTACACATAACTGCTGCATTCAGAGATGTTCCATTGAGAGCATATGAAACATCAGGAACTAGTCCGTTTTTCATGAACATTGTCTTCGTGATATTTAGCTGCAATCCGACCTTTCCACACTCATGGTCGAAGTTGTCCAGCATTTGTGCCTCTTGGCTATTGTTTGGTGTTATTAGAATGATGTCATCAGCAGAGCAGAGGTGGTGTAGATGCTGACCATCTATCTTCACTCCCATTCCTTCCCATTCCTGTCATCGCATGACATTCTCGAGGGTGGCACTGAAGAGTTTCGGTGAAATGGCATTGCCCTGCCGAACCCCTCTCTTTACGTCTATGATCACTTCCTTGTAGAATGGTGAGATTCTGGTGGTGAATCCGTAATACAGCTCACGGAGGATCCTGATGTACTCTGGGTGTGGCCCAAAACAACGTGGGAAAAGGACTGTAGAGAAGGTACGGAGGTTAAGGCACTTGCCTTGAACATGACTAATCCCAGTTGGAGCCCAGTATGGCTGAGCTCCACCAAGAGTAATCTCAGCAC